ATCGGGTGCCATGGAGGAGTGTGCATCCCCTGCTGACCGGTCACACCCGCCGTGTACGCCTTGTCATGATCAGTAAATAACGGAAAAATCCGTCGACAACTCAGTTTGTAAATAATGGAATAACAATTATTATGAAAAACGCAAGTCACCATATGACTTAATGATAGATTGTATTTGCTGACAAAGTCATTGTATCGACCATAGATCTTACGAAATGATGACTTATAACGAGACTGTTAATATTCTTGTTTCATTAACTTGTTTGTGAATAACTTACCTAGAAATTGTTCATACATAGAGTAAGCTCTTGCGTATATATCGAATCAACTGAGAGATATACACCCCATATGCAGGTGTTAAGGGTACATGTATATTGCTGCATAAGAAAGGGGAGTTGACGATTGAAAAGTTTAAGTCATCAAGTTTATCATAAAAGCTTTGTTGTTGAATTATCATTAACGTCTTTTTCTAGTAAACTATTCAAATATGAAACAGATGTGTCAGACTCTGTGGTATCTTTTATTTCAAGCTCAGTGGGATATATCGTGTCGACATACATGTTTGAATGGAAATATCTATTGTTATTTGATAATACATTGTCGATATACTGTATCTAAATGTCGAGTTGAAGGCCACTGCAAGGGATTTCTTTTTTCTCTTGTATAAGATTTTGAATAAACTCTGCTTCATATGAATACAAATATAGGTCTGCTAATAACAGGACGCAATTGGTACCCATGGGAATTTCAACAGATTGTTGGAAGACCTGGTCTCCAAAAACCACATAGATACTGTCAATCAGAAACTCAAGCATCTTTTAAATATCATCTTCAGAGTACTTGTATGTATAATCAGAACATTTTTTAACAAAATAATTTGTAAATGACCATTAACAAGGTAAATTTACGAGTTCCATTTTTATTGAAAAAGCAGCTGTCAATGATGTCAAAAAGCCTGGACTTTAATTTATCGTGGGGAATGGTTGTATATAGCGTTGAAAAGTCGTAAGTTTGTATGTTATTGATTTTCGTAAAATTTTGTGATTTCAAATTTTCCAAAAGTTCCTTGGAATTTTTAAGTATCCACATCTGATTTACATCACTTCTCGAATATATGGTTGCGCAGTACTCCTGAAGTTTCTCCTTCACTGCTGTTAATATTTTAGTGAGGCGTAAGAAGAGGGGGTAGGTAGAACATTTACTGGAACCCGCTATGTATCTAAATTTGTTTGTAAGGATTTTTATGAAGTTTCGGAATCCAATATGAATATGGTAATTAAAATTCATTTTGTTGTTGGGAATATCAAAAATATTCAAAACCGACATGATTTTGAAGAATTTCCTCCTTAGAAAGGGAGCTATGGGTAAAAGAGGTAGAGGCTCTATTGATTATATAGTGAACATGCATTATTTTTTGAAAATCTTCTCCTCTGCTCCTGCTCCTGCGTATTAAACAATCTAACTAAGTATATAGCCATGATGAACAAGGGTGCCTTCAATTTCCAAAATTATGAATTTCATGACCACTGGGTAGGGGTTCTGGTTTTAGGGCGAGGCTCTATTGATTATATAGTGAATATGCATTATTTGTTTGAAAATCTTCTCTGCTCCTGGGTATTAAACAATCTAATTAAGTACATAGCTATGACGAGCAAGGGAGACTCTTCTAAAATTGTGCATTTAATGGCCCCTGGGTCAGGGGTTCTGGTGTTGGGGGTGGGCGTGGGGGCTCTATCGATTATATATAGTGAAAATACATTATTTATTAAAAGAATCTTCTACTCTGCTCCTGGGTATTAAGCAAACAAACGAAATGCAGTTATGTTGAGCAAGAGTTCCTCTTCCAAAATTGTGAATTTCGATCATTCCTGTGTCAGGGGCAGGGGTTCTGATGTTAGGGCGGGTGTCTGTTGATTATATATTGATAATATTAATTCTTTAAAAATTTTCGCTGCACCCGGGTATTTAGAAAACAAACTATATGCATGGTTATGATGAGCAAGGGTGCCTCTTCCAAAATTGTGAATTTTATGACCCCTGGGTCAAGGATTCTGATGTCTGGGTGAGGTTCTGTTGGTTAAAAGCGAAAATGCATTAATATTAAAGCTGTGGAAATATTCTTCCCTACCCATGACTATTAAGCAAACAAACTAAATGCAATAAAATAAATGTATAAATACAATGTATTAATAAATGTGCCTCTTCTCTACTCCTGCGTATCTAAGAGGCAAACAGAGTTCAAAATTTTAATAAGTGAAGCAAAAATTAACGTTCTACTAAAAAATCATACGCTCGGTATTATTTTATAATACCGAGGGTATGATTTTTTTTTTTTAGTAAAACGTAATTAATTCTGCGTTACTTTTGGATTTTTCTTATGGAATACATTGTAAATGTGTACTAGAAGAATTATTTATGAAAAAAAGACAAAAATATTTTTTTGACCGGGGGGAGGGGCGGTATATTAGGGGGGGGGGGCTGTCCACAAGTACCTGTGGTATAAAGTACGATCCCAAGGAGATCTTTCGGATCTCGCATGTTACAATAAGCAAGGGTATTTTTACCAGAAGTTTAAAATTCTTTGGCAAGATAGCTTCATCTATCAGTTAAATTTGCTTTATACTTCTGTGGATTCTTTACAGTGTTGTATTATACTCAGGTGACCGTTAAGGCGTTTGGGCCTCTTGTTTCAGTGATTCATATTTCTTGTGAATGGTCATGCACAAAAAAGTGTAATTCTTTTATTTACCAGATATTTAAAAAGAAAAACTATGACTGAGAATTCGATCTGTTTGTATTTTCTATGTACATGTATATATTAATTTCATTTACATGTCATTAATACACAAAGATTCGGTGACAGAGCTTATAGAAGTAAATTGATCCTCAGTGATCTCAGTTGACATGATTTTGAAGAAATATTGACCATCTGGAGATTGAGGTAGTTGGGACAGTTACAATCATTAAAATTTATCTTCATTTATATTGAGAATTAAATAGCATGACGTAATACTTTATGTTTTAAATGTTAATATTAATTTACAAGTATTTTCTTGTATAATAAGCACGATGGTTTTATACCATTTCAAATACCATTATTATACATCATTACATGAAAACATGAAGCTGATGAAATTTTTTAGAGAACATTTTTAGTTTGTAAACAATGAAACACGCTGCATTATGATTTTGAAAAAAAAATCATGCCTGCAATTGAGGACAAATGAAAACGAGGTACATGTACTAGTAATATTATTTTTGTTTAAGAGATTTTTTGGTAATTGATCTTCTTGCATACATACGATACATTTTATATGATTAATTGAAAGTTTATTCGTGTAAATCTTCCTGACTTTAATTTGAAAAATTGTGAATGTCAAATTTAATTTTAGACATTATAATTAGTTTGGGGAAAAAAATACAGGTATATGTATATGATCAGTATGCATTATATATTTCATTTGCCTGCAGTGGCGGATCCGAATTGAAGTTAATGTAGGGGGTTTTGAGGTACGAAAGGCCGAAGGGGGAGGCCGGTACACTGTATGGGAGGGATGTCTACCCCCCAATGGGTGAGGGTTCGGGGGTTCTTTTTCTAAATGGATCGAAATGATGCCTTTTCCAGTATATTATATTAAATTATTAAATTACATGTGGTTATTTTTTTTAATGGCCACTTTTTAAAGTTGTTTTTCGAGACCAACCCAACCTATCCAAATTCAAGAATTTAAAGAAAAAAATAAATAAAGTTTTGGAACTTTTTTTAATCTTACATGTAAACATGAGAATTGAGACTTTAAAAAGAATAATTAAACGTTAATTCTTCTTATAATATTTGAGAATATCGGCAATTTTTATATATCCTATTTATCATTTTAAATGGACGTCCAGTATGTCGCACTATAGCTATCAAAATACAATTTATTAACGATGTGCAATTTTCTAACACTTAAAAAATTTGGAGGATTTTATGTAGAAACCCTGCTTTTCAACTTACTTAATTGACTATACTGTCAATATTATTTGGAATACTAACAAATACACTGTAATGATATTTCATCATGTTCATTGAAGAATAAATATAAATTAGTTTGGGAAATTGTTGAGAAGGGAATTTTTTGTTTCTTCATTTGTTTGTTTTTTTTAGGGGGGGATAATAAATTCTTACATATTTGAACTCTTTTTTTACCCATACCAACCCGTTGGGGGGTGGGGGGTGGGGGTTGGAAAACAATCAACAACAAAAAAGTTGTCAATGTTCTGTCTACAGGACATTATGTCATTTTTACCACAATTCATTATACAAAGTTGTAATCGTTAACTGGGTTTTATTAAACATTAATTCAACTGTATTTTTCTTGCATATCTTTTGCTTTTAAATTTCTTTTTATTAAATGTACATTGCAACTTTCATCCACCCAAGGAACACTAGTCCATGCATGCATTTTTTTTTTTACTACAGACTTAAGCTTTTGTTACAGGTCACAACGTAAACAACTTATAAACCGATACAAAGGGGACCAGGGGGTCTTATTTCCTTTGTTTGAAAAACAAAAATTCCTTTAGTTGGAAGGCTTTGATATTGAGACTGTGGTTCAAAAAAGAAATAATTCCGGAAATATTTGGTTTTACGTTAAGATTTTAATGTGTATGTGTACTTTCTTTTTTAAACACGCATGCGTGGACTGGTTGCACCGGAAATGGATTGTATCGAAACGTAAACAAAAGTATCATTTGAATTATTTTAAATAATTTCTGCATTAAGAGCATCGGAGTATCAATTCAATAGTTTTAGAATGCCTGTGCATTTTAAGGTAAGATTCAATCAATTTAAATTTTAAGCACAGATTGTATCATTTGGCGATTAATTGACTTTATCATTTACGCTTCGTGCACTTGTGCAGACCCTGCAGTTAATATCAAAATCAATTTGTTGTGTCAGTTTTCTACATCAAAGACCTTTTTGTGTGAATAAATTTTATAGGGAGATAAGTTAGAAATAATAAAATAAATTGCAGCCTTTTGCTGATGTTATCTGGGGCCTTTAAAAGTGTTATCTTCCCCTCGGCTGCTCCTGACCGCACAAGTGTTAACATGTTTGAACACATCCCTGTAGAGCGGCAATTATTATAATTTTAATCCAAACACCAGCAAATCAATTGGAGGTGCGAATCAATTTTATTAAAGATGCGGATTAAGAAATTGAATATACCTGTAAGTTTTGTGTGTATATTTGCTTGTTTATGTACAAAAACTTTTATTTTTGTCACATGCTGTCTTTCTGACGTGCTTAGACCACTCTGACTGCAGGAGTGAATAGAGACCTGGGATTTAAAAATAATCCATTGTTCTAATCACAGATTAGTGGTTACCATTGTTCTTTTGTAACACTATGAAAGTTGTTGATTTTTGCAATTCTTGCAATAATTGGTTTATCGTGCAAACAATAGACGTGAAATAAGAGGAAGACCAGCAATAGCTCTATAATGTAGCCCTTTTATTTTATGGGGGGTGGGGAGGGGGTGGGGGGGGGAGGAATATCAGATATATAAAAAAAATCAGAGTGGGCAACGTTAATGCAGCTGGACCCCCAAAACACCAGCAATAGATCTAGAGAATTGAAAGGGGGGGTAGTGTTTTTAATTTCGTTGGCCAATTGACATGATGAAGTTAAAAAGAGCTGTGTTTTGTACATTGTGCAATTAAAACTTGATATATATTTTTTGTCCCAGGGTAAATCTGAATATGACAGGAATTTTAAATGGCTGGACTCCTACAGGAGTAAGAGCTTCAAGCCTTCCCCTGAGCAGATGGCCCCATCAGCAGGCTGCTGTTCAGTAGAACTTGGTACCTAAATAAATTAATTATGGTACACGTAGTAGATGCTATTGGATGTTTGGCATGCGTCTGTTGCAGTCACATGTGTCTTACTTTGCCAATATTATCAGAATATACCTGTGTAAAATATACAATTATAGTCCTTTTATCCACACTTTGTTAAAGTTGTGTCCCTTTGTGGTGTCAAACAAAAGATCAATTGAAAACGGAAAGGGGAAATGTTTCTCATCTTTATACCACCAAAAATTTGAGCTTTTGGTGATAAATATTCTGTGTTTATTTTTCTTTTGATGTATGGGTAGTCCCATCTAGGGGTGAAACAATACACCTCCTTTATGGTTCGATACGTATTGTATAATTTTGACTCGGTTCGGTTATTTTCGATACGATACATTTTGACAGAAGGAAACAAATTCAACGTTGTTTTATGCTTTCTTTTTCTAAATCTAGTCACATGTTTTACGAATTTTATTTGCAAATTGACTAGAAGAAATTGATTAAAATTATTTGACTGTCAAAAATTATTTTACAAGCTATCAGTCATCAAAAATTTATGTTTTCTATGCTTATTTATACTGAGTAACGTGTTTTACCTTATGCCAAACCCGACTGAATAACGATCCCGACCGAAAAATGAACTGAACCGAAAATTAGAGATTTTGCACCGTGTATCAAACCGAGAAAAAATACCGCGGTGAATCAATACCGCGGTGAACCGTTTCACTCCTAGTCCCATCGATGTCCTGGGGCAATCAAAATAAGAAGCAAAGACTCTTTCCTATCAACATGATCAAATGACAAAGTTATCAACCAGTAAGCTGCAAACTAAGGCTACTTTGAGAATTTTTTAGATGGGTTTTTTCCCCAAAGATGGCTACCAAGGGACATAACTTTTGAAAAGTGTGGATTCAACTATTTTTTAATGACAGAACATATATCAGCATCATAGCTATTAAACATATGATGAATCTGATTCTAATGCTAATTCTCATGCTAGTTATGACTTTCATAGACTTGATACATACAGAATATGCTGAGAAAACTGATAGATACAAACCTTTATTGATGAATAAGATGTGTGAAAAGACAGGGCTAATCAAAGATTATAATCATGTAAATTATGTTAGATTGACAGTGGTAAATGCCTTAATTTGCTTTCCCTGCTGTCTCCTCCTTTAAGAATTTTTTTTTAGCAAATGCATCCATCCATTACAAGAAATCTAGCATGAGTTAGCATTCATCAACATCATGGCATTGTGATGCTCATTCTTATACATATAAGCTTGTCAATGTACATGTTATTTGTCTATTTATTTATACCCCCGCTCCGAAGGAGAGGGGGGTATACTGTTTTACCCTTGTGTGTCTGTCTGTCTGTCCGTCTGTCTGTCTGTCTGTCCGTAACAAATTTTGGTCGCAGTTTTCTCAGCAACTACTCATTGCAGATGCTTGAAATTTGAGTACAATCTTTGTTTAGGCATGCCATATGGTGGGATTCATTTTTGTACTAATCTGATGTCAACTTCCTGTTTATCCGTGCGTCTGTCCGTACAACACATAACAAACTTTGGTCGCAGTTTTCTCAGCAACTACTCATCACAGGTGCTTGAAATTTTAACACACTCTTTGTTTAGGAATGCCATATGGTGGGATTCATTTTTGTACAAATCCGATGTCAACTTCCTGTTTATCCGTGCATCTGTCCGAAACATACATAGCAAATTTTGGTCGTAGTTTTCTCAGCAACTACTTATCGCAGATGCTTCAAATTTTAGCACAATCTTTGTTTAGGCATGCCATGTGTTGGGATTCAGTTTTTACAAATCCAATGTCAATTTCCTAATTATCACTGTCTTTGTCTATAACCTAACTTGTGTATTCACATCAGAGCGGGGGTATTATTAGTGAGCATTGGCTCACAGACTTCTTGTTGTAACAGTTGTGTGTGTTTTTGTCAAACTTAACATCACTAAGTTGACTTAAACAGAATATCATATCCATTTTGCATGCTAGAATTGTAACTTGTGCATTGTAGACAGAATATAAGCAGAATTATCTGCCGGTACAATCAAGGAAAAGTGCCTCCTTCCATCCCCTCCCTCAGCAAGCTGTTGAACCAGCGGGGAGGGAGTCATCCAAGCTAGGTATTGTCTCATACATCATGTACATAGACATGCATCTTCATTGTGACTAGTTTGTCACCTTATCAATTGTCGCACACATAGACATGCATCTTCACTGTGACCAGTTTGTCACCTTATCAATTGTCACACACATGAAGGCATGCATCTTCATTGTGACCAGTTTGTCATCTTAGCTATATAGATATCAATTGTCACACATATACAATGTAGGCATGCAAATTCATTCTGTTGTGACCAGTTTGAGTCGCATTGTCATTAGATAGCTTTTTAGTTTTTATTACATATTGTAAGTGAAATTATTAATTATTAGCCAATTCAGAATTTAGTGTCAGGCCACGCATGGACTACTGGTCTAAACATGAATAATTTCTATTAATATATATATATATTATCATTATGTACAGTGATGTATAGTGCATTTATTTAAAATCATAATTTGGTGCTATTAAAAATGAGCACACAATAGGAATTCTGCTAAAATAAGTATATATTTATGAAACAGTATATTGTGTTTGTCCATTACATGTTCTTGTAACAATGTGTAAGCATATTTTATATTTATATTTAATAATTTATGCATACAGTATGTGCAGTCACAAGCAATTAAATAATACTATCCTGTATATATTACTCTTGTACTCAAAGCAATCTATTTTGCTATAACATATAATCACAAGTAATATAATCAATATGTACAAATTTTATTTAATATGTTTAATAACATAACAATATTCATTTGTAAATGAAAAATTCTGATAAATTGAAATGCCTTAATTAGTCCATTTTAACATATAAATAAACTAAAGCTGACTTTTAAAGAAAATGAATTTTTACAAATTTATTGCATAGATATGCCTCATTTTGACTTGTGAGTGTCATTATGATTGCCCTAGGTGTAACCATGGAGCCACCCTTACAAAGGAAGAAGCACTGCCCGGGACCCCCGACAACTCTGAGCACAGATTTCAATCAGTTCCCAGACTCAGCATCAGATGACTTCGCCTTGCTGGGACGGAATGATAAGTTTTCAGAGAATGTCCGATACAAATCTAAAGGCCGACATAGTCACCAGGCCAGAGAGGCATCCCCACCCAAACAACAAAAACTACAGGTAAATCTAGGCTCCTACACTATTTCATGAACAATGATAAAAATGGAGCTTGATCTAGGGTCCTTCACTATTTCTTAAAAACTAGATGATAAATCTAGGCACAAACACAGGCAAATCTAGACTTACGACACCCAAATGGTTTAAATGTATAATTACAGTTATTTATCAAGTTGCAGCACCACTTATTTACATGTAATATTTTCACCACAGAATTTGTCACTTGATAAAATTTAATGTGTTTGTTTTGAAGTAAACATGAGTACCACTGTCAGAAGTATTTGAATTTTGAGTCCAGTTTCAAAATTTCTTCAAAAACTGAGGGAGGAGTATACATGTACATGTTCTCCTGCATTTTTTTTTTCTTAGTTTAAAGATTTTATATTATTTATATTTTCAGTATGTGATCAGGGTTTACAGGAAGTTCAGAATATAATGACAAATTCTTTCTTCATGTCCATTTGTAGACTGGACCTAAATATTTCATATGCACATTTATTTTGTATTATAGGAAAAGGAAAATTTAAGAAAACCAGTCAAAGAAACACCAGCCCCATTTGTGGATACCTCTAAATTTCGGCAGAGGTCTAAGGCAGAGGATCAACCTAGAAAACCTAAGGCCGAAGATCCCCCTAGCACCCCTTTGACCCCAAGAAAGGAAAAGAACGAGCACTCAAGTTTATTGAAGGAAGTAGCCCTGAAAGATAAAGAGGCAGCATTGAGAGAAAAATTCATCAAACTGGACAAAGAAGCAGAGAGAAAGAAGCCCCGTAGTCAGCTTAAAGAGACCAGAAAGGACTTCAGTAAAACTATTGACCAGAATAAAATGGAGTCAGCTGTGAAGGCGTGGGCTAAGGACAAAGATGTGGGTGCCATGAATGAGTTTGCCCAGACAAACCTTGATAAAGGTGTTGTCTATTCTGCACCAGAAGCTCCAGTATGTGTTCTTTTCATCTCTTTAAGAATTTAACTGATTGCAAGGATTTAAAATTTATCAAAATTATTAATAGATATTGTAAGTTTTTCATTGTAAAAGATGTGAAATAATATTTTTTGAATACTTAAAAAAAAGTGATTACAAAAACAAAATTACATTTCAATTCTGCAGTGTTAAGTTGTAAGTTTCATCTGAAAGATTCTAAGTCTGTTTCAAGACTAGCTTTGATACTTAAATAATCCTTGTGACAATCAATGAATCTTGTTTCACTTTCAAAGATTTTACAGATTTTGATTGTTATTGTATCTATTTTAGGCTGATTACTCTTTGAGGTATAAAACAGGAGTTACGGCCCCCCGACAACGAAGGCACAAGTTCTCAGAATACCAGAAGGCCTTTAGCTGGAAGGACGGTTCCAAAGCTTCACCAGTACTGGCCGCTGAACAGGTACAGCTGTACTCAGAACTTTGTTTTTATGTAGGACTTAACTTTGCTATGTTTTGTACACCTAGAAAGCTATGCAATTGTGATTTGCAGCCAAGCAATTATTTACTGAGTGTTTGAACCATCTTCACTTCATAACAATCAATGTGCATTATTAATTTATTAACAGAATTTTATCAGATTCCATGAATGTACATACCATTCCCCATAGATGTGTAATGATGTGTAAATCTGTGCATTTTAATATCAGAGACAAGCATGTTAAATCAGTAGATTAAACATGTTAAATAAAAGAAAAAAAAATCAAACCCAAATTTGCTAACCCTTAGCAAGGTTAAAAATTTATTTTAAAGAATTGCTAACTCAATTTTGATTACCATGTTTGTATTTTGCTTCCTTAGGCAGTTGTAGCATCTGAGAGTAAAAATAAGGTGGTATATATATATGGCCATATTTACTGCATGCTTTAATTGCTTTAGACATGTTAATTAACCTGCATGATTCTGTAGACTCATCCCAAACTTGTATTGTAAAATTGAAAACCTCAGACCCAAAGGGTTTCAAATTCTTTATAGACTGATAGAATTGAGTCATTATGGTTACTCTGTGGTTCTTGGGGGAAATAGATTTTCAATAACTTTAGTTCTTATCATAATATATCTGTTTCCTCTTTTTTAGTTTCTAATACATGTTTTGTGAAATCCCAATTCTATTTAACATGCTATTATGGATATACAATGATATAGGTAACGATTCAGTAATAATATCTTTAGCATGTGCACTAACATAATTAATATATATTTGTATGTACTTCATATATTTATAATAATACTTCATAGTTTAAACTACATGTATTTCTTAATCCTCATTAATGTACAATTTATATTCAAGATAATAGGAAAATGTATATTATATGAAAAATTGAAAATATACTCTTCTTGAATATTAGTGTTAGTTATTTTGTGAATGGAAAAAAGTTGATTTTTGATACAATCTAAATCAAAAAAGACTTTAAGAATGAAAATGTGTAATAAAAAAATTTACTTTATATCTTCAGATTAAACAAAATCATGTGGAAACATATTTCACAATTTAAATATTACTTGGGTTAATGAAGCTTAGCAGTTCTTCCCCGTTTGGCCATTATAATTATAAATTCTTGCCTCAAACAGGTTGTGTACAATAGTAACCCTGCCTTGATCCCTCCCAAGAAGACCTTTGTCAAGGACAGCGAGTATGCAGCTCAGTTCAAAGAGTACAGCAGCATACCTGTCAGCAGTGATGACCTCAAGGCCGTCCCAAGGATGGAGAAACAAAGGTCAAAGGTAAAAAAGGAACAAAGTTATTGGGTATTAAAAATTTGACAATATTGATGAAAATTAAAAGTTAAATATGCACTGCAAGAGTACACATATTACATGTAAATACCAAATGCATCAATAGAAATGTTTTTTTTAGATGTGCATTATTTGAACTTTGAAAGCAATAATCTCAATATAATTGTTTGATTAGGTTTATATATTATTGCTTTAATTTCTTTTTGTTATTTAACTTAATTTCTGTATTATATTTTTAGGTCCGAAGAAGTAAAAGCACAGGATGTACGTATACAAATGTTTATTTCTATAAAACCTTATCATTAACCTCAAGTTTCAAAAAGAGATCTAGGATTATGTTAACCAGACCATGTACATGTTGCATGAAATCTAATTTTAGCACTGCGGGTGGACAAGAGACCCCCTGCTGGTAGTAGTCCAGTTATATCCCCTGACAACAAACGACAGACTATTGAATCTGAACTACAGGGTGAACCAAAAGAGGCTCCTAGTCCTCCACCCCTTAACCAAGGAAAACTCAAGTAAGTTTGGAATATCTCATAGGCTTATTGACTGAGATTACTAGGTCATAACTGACCCCTTAAATGTCTAACTTGGAAATGCAGAAATATTTAAGAAAAAATATTTGATGAATTAGAGTATGTTAGAGAGTTCTATTTATTAAGCATTTACTCATAATGATTATTTCTGCTACTAGATAATAACATGATAAGAAATATTTCTCAAGATTTTCTAGAAATAATCATTGGTTCAAAATAATTTGAATAAAATATGAGTTTTTAGTTCATAAAGGAAAAGGAAATGTCCCTATGCTTATTTTTTTCTTTAAGACGACCAAGAAGTGAATATGCCACAAACTTTCGATCTCCAACCAAATATCAATATGACGGGGTGTGGCATGGAGCTCTGCCCCCTCATCTTCAGCCAACTAAGGTAAGTTTAGAGTGAGGTAATTGTTATTGCTCTGTTTGACCAGTAGTGATCATGTTGTGACCATGTCTTGCTGCACTGTTGTATTTCAGATTGCACCCTTTCAAAATTCTCTCAGTTAACTGGTTTTTTTTTTTTTTTTGTTAATTTCTCAACTTAGTTCTTTATGTGCAGTATAGATTTCTATTTTCATTTACAACACGTACTATATCAGGAAACTTGGAAAAGTTACTGAATTTCTTCATGATCTGAAAAGCATATTCTGTAGACCAAAAATTTAGACAACATTTGCAGATAAATTTTATCTATTTAATATCTGTCAGATGTGACTACTCTGACATACTGGCACATATACAATACTGAGCCCATGTTTTGTACTGGATCAGTTGTTTCATTTCTTTCAGTGTATTTAAAAGGCAATGATCAATATAGATATTCCTTTAAAAAGTTTATAAATTCTTAAATGGAAAGTGAAATATATGAAATAGACACTGCATTTTATTGTACCTGTGTTTTTTCTCTAATGGTTTTTGGTGTGTAATACATGTAATAATAATAATGATAATACATGTGCATCTGTTAATCATTGTGTTAATTCTTCAATTCAGTTCACAAAGTATTTCACGAGTTCATACAGAAGAAAGTAATGCTAGAGATACATCAGAGAAAAACTGAGAGTAGTTTTGCAGTTGAGCTAGTATAATGTTTAAGCTTCACATTTTAACATTTCATTCCTGTCATAAAAATATCCTGGCTTGTTTTATTAGGCATTATCAGAGGAAGAAAAGTCAGTTAAGGAGGTAGGCTATTGAATAATTCATGAGTTGTTACTGTAGTAATAAATACATATACCCAGTACATGTATATGATATCTACATGTGAAAAAGTACTTAAAAGATCATTTTGTTTAAAATGCACTATGCAAATCATAATTTCATGGAAGTGTACTTGTAGACCATGAAAATAATTTGAAAAAGAAATCTGCTTAAAATGTAAGATATTTCTAAAGAAAAAGTGCAACAGTATAAAAAATTTCAAGCAACATTTTTGCAATATAAAAGTTTTAGATATGGTAGCAAATACATGTATTAATACATGTATTTTCGTAAGATAAGCTCATATAAATAAAATGTTATACCAGGCATGAAATTGCTGTACTGCATTTTACATACATATTGATCAGATAATAATCAAACGATAAATGTTATGCTGAAAATGTGATTTTGTTTTCAGAGTGCACCTGTGAATAACAATGGCCCAGCCTTGTCTAACTGGTTTGCTGAAGTTATCGAGCTTCGACAGAAAGCTGCAGAGTACAAGAAACGAGCTCAGGGAACTCACTTCTCTCGCGAGCACCTTGTCCAACTCATTGCTCAACAGACTCAAGCCTGGGACAGTCTGAGTACCGCTCGCAGTGGATCAAGCACACTATCAGCACTCTCACTTGAGTCTGGGTTGAGTGCCAGAGAGAGAGCAAAGTAAGGGGTTTTTGTATATTTGAATTTAAAAAAAAATGCCTTAATCTGAGTAGGAAATTTTGCTTTAACATGTGGACATATATATTTTGAATTGCTCTGCATGAAATTTAAAACAGTTGATGCTAGGTATTATTTGCAGCAATACTTGCATAATTATAAAAATCTGTCTTACGATTTTATACCATATGTTCTATGTTTGATGAATGGATTAAAATGCATGTACTTACAATGCTGCAGAATGGAAGAATATTTTTCTGATATTTTTTTGTAAAAAAATTTAATATATTTATACATTGTATATACAGAGAGCTTTCTTTTAAAATTTAAAAGAATACACATTAAACTGTACATACAAATTTTCAGGCAGGAGTTAGAAATGGCTGAAGAAACAAATACTGATAATAAAAAACCAGGGGCTATGCAAGCAAAACTAACACATACAAAAATGGATATTGACAAACCCCCAGTTTCTAAGGAAACAAAACCCACACAAACACATATTGATACATGTAACCAAATAGAAGTTGCTAATCTGGCAAATAAAACACAAATGAAACTCTCCAACAAAGATCTAAACTTATTATGCCCCAACCCAACCAAAACTGATAAAATTGAAATTAAGCAGGAAGGAAAACAGCCACAACAACAATCAAAGTTCTCTTTACCAGAAAAAATTGAAAGTAAAAAGTCCCAGAATAAAAACCCTAGTCCTGATAAATTGGATTCCAAAACTCCACAAGTACAGTCTGAAATTAACAAAGAAACACAAGCACCAACTAAGATTGCATGTATTGAAGCAGTGGAAAGTAAGCCATCACAAGGTTCCAAGAATTCAGACACCACACAAACCAAAGAGACAGTGAAGCCACTTAAAGTGTATGTCTGTGTAGACCGTAGATCGTAGATCACCCTTCCCTTACTTTCTATTTACTCTATAGAAAGCATGAAATATATATCATAAATACAGGCCTTAAGTATAGTTTTGTACGGTGGCATACATGAACATATATCAAAGTGAATGTATTTGGTCTTTCTTACAAGTCGTCATGGTTATATAGCATGCATGTATATCTTCTAGCACATTTACTGGAGCATGTATACCGAGTTTGAACTAGGATGGCATTTGATAGTTTAGATTTCTGCTAGTTTTTTTGCTTGTGTTCTTTAGAGTGTTAATTTTCCTGATTTCAGTGATTGTAGTTAAATAGTTGTATTTCTACTAGAATTAAGTCGTACAGGAAATGGGTTAATCAATTACTGAATTTTTAAACAAAGAAGCATTACTCATTACATGTTATAGTATGCTTTTATGGTTTGCATCTCTTCTGTTGGATATATATATATTCCATCTGTTCATTTATTTTGGTGCTTGATAGTTTATAATTGTGCAGATCAGAAACAATTTTTTCAGTAATCACAGAACAGGAAATTGACTGGGAAAATGTGAAATTTTGTCTATAGATTCAGAAATGAAAACTCTTATTGTTTACATATATTTATATACATATTATGATTTATTTTTGTACAGAGAAATGGCCAATAGAAATGGAGATGACATATCAATGATGGCTCATGAGGGATCAGATGAAGAAGCTGGAAAACCAGACTTCATACCAGAAAAGCATCTAGACCTCACTGCTACCAAGGGAAGTAAGCAGAGGAAACACAGGAAGAAGGCGTGGCAGAAAGAGGAAGCCAGGTATGGGTAAAAGTAGGATACGTGAGATTGAGGAATTAACGATATTCTTTCTAATATATGAATTCATCATTTAGATATTGAACAGGTGGAAAGAGGCTTGCATGATAGATTATTATATTTTACTTGAATTGGACATCGAAAAATGAATATGCGTCAATCTTCAAATTAAACAGGTTTAAATTTCTTCAACTTTATTCACTAAAACTATATATATATATAATCGCAAGTCTTTTTCGTATAGCTAAATTTAAAGCTTGAGTAAATATAAAAGACAGATGTTGAAAGCAAAGTACTTGTTTAAGAATTTTTTTTTTAATTCTCAACAGGGAAGCAGATCCAGATAATCTGTCTTTGTTGTCCAATGTTGGATCAGATATTTCAAGATCTGATATTTATCCTCAAAGGACTGAGAAACGAAGAGGAAGGAAGAAGCACAGGAGTAGGAGGAAGAGGGAGGAGGAGGATGTAAGGTAAGGATAGAGGGAAATGGTGGAGGAAAAAGGCTGGCCAGGGTAAAAAAAATATAGGGAAGGGGTATATACATATGTAACTTATAACTAAGGTTAAATGAATATATAGATTGATTTGTTTTTTCTCAAAAAAATGAAATTAAGAAAGTCTTCTTTCAATTTGTTCTAATTTCATAAGGAGTATGTGAAGTATGTAAAAAATAATTATGATCATTGGTCTTACTTGAATATTTTGATTGTTTTGAATGCTTGAATGGATTTAAAACCCAAATTAAGTAAGCAGTTGCGCATCATATAAAAATTAGAAAAACTTGGGAAATAGGATTTATTCCTATTTCTTTTTCAACAGTGACATAACCCCTGTACTAGAACCATCCTCTGACAAAGGCAGAATCCCAACCCCCAAGCTCAGGTCAAAGAGTGCTGGCTCTACCAGACATCACCTAGACAGGACCACACCTGTAGTGGGAGGGGCCATTTTATCCTCACCCCCAAGGCCAGAGAAATCATCCCAGATGAAAGTCAGCAGGTCATGGTGCACACCACAAGGTAATTTATCCCTCAACCAATTTTCATTTAAATATTTTTGGTACATGTATTACTTGGAAAGATAAAGAACTTTGCTATTGTTGCACTTGTATACTGTGTTACTTCAAGTTATATTGAAAACGTTGTTATCTCCAACTCTTAATGGACCAAAAAACGACAGTATATTTCAGGAATTGAGGTACATGTTTCCTGGGTAAAATACTTAAAGAATAAAAGGGGTTGGAATTTCAAAATCACTTTGACATGTCCATCGTATTCAAGATATCATTATTTGGGATACCAAAGTTTAACTGTAATTCTTAGAAATAAATTACAATGTTAGAAAGACAAAATAATGTAGATATTAGAAATTTAAAGGAATTAATTAAAAACTTGTTTTTATGAAAATCATCCTTTGCAAAATTACATTATTTTTCCTAGCATGTTAATGTATTAAATAATACCTGTTTGTTAAGAAAAAGGAGTGCTATCTCACAAAAAGGTTTTATGATTTGAAATGTTATAACAAGTTAGTGACTTTGTGTTTTTCCAGATGTTTATGATGATGAAGTGAGTACAATTGTCAGCAGTGATAGATTTCAACCCGTAGCAGGTCAAAGTCAAACAACGGTATTACTTTAATTTTATCTAATCATTTTATTTCATCTTTTTATTATGGTCCAGAGTTCTCATCAATTTACATTGCTGCTATTTACTTACACATTTTTTTTATTCAGCCATTCGTTGCTACACAAGTCCCTATTTCGACATCGCCCACTTTTGGCCTACCCTCCAAGGATACCCACATCTTACGTGACGATGAAGTCAGCGTAGACAAACCTTTAGAGACTGTGTTTGTAGACAGCCCAGCCAAAATCAAGCCAACAATTGAAGGTTTGTACCTCTGAATTATATAGCTTTTGACTGTATTTAAAGTTTCATGAGTAATTCTAGTATCTTTAAACAAATTTTGGAAGTAAAGTTAGGGAAATTCAGAGACTATAACATTATTTTTTTTTTTAAATCTGCAAACCTCTTTAGCATAACTTTTTTTTCAAAACTGTTATAATCATTCTTAGAAAGAAACTATGTATTAAATTTTTAAAAAAAAAGTATCTTACTTGATTTCTAAATTTATTCTATGTATACTTGAAAACTAATTATTTGAGAAAGAAAAGTATTTATTTTTTATGACTTTTCATCAAATTTATTGCTCTAGTTGTAAGTGGTGGAGAAAAACCAGCAAGAAAAGGCAAAAAGCCCACAAAATTTGAACCACAGCAAGCGATCAAGGAGGGATACGGACAGACCTACAACAAGCCAATGGCATGGGGCATTGAAGGAGGTTAGCATTTTTAATTCATGAAAATTCAAATAGACTGTACATACAAGGAAATGGCTTACAATCTTAGTATTATCATCTTGTTATTTGGGGAAGTATGTACATGTATACATCATTTCACATTAGTTCTCATCTTTGTTTATCAATGTAGGAAGAGTATAATGAAAAGAATGTTGAATGATTGGTTTTTATACAACCATGTATAATATATTCTTGATATGATAATTCCCAGAAATGCAAATTAAAGTTTGTGACTATATTGTTGCAACTGGAGAATTAATTACAGTAAAATGCATGGACATAACAAACTCTTTCTAATAATAATTTTTTTTTAAAAGCATTAGAAAAATAATGAAATTCTGAAGTAAAAACATCATCAATTATGAAAATTAATTTAATTAGACTTCACTAATACAACATGTAAACATTTTACTTAAATTGTCATTTTTTGGTGATAAATGATTGAACATATGTGTATAACAAAGCTAAAAATATTTATTTCTAGCTCTTCATGTTTTTCTCTTTACAGGAATGCCTATACCAAGGATAGATGATGACGTGCTATCTCTGTCAGCGAGATCTGTTGCGTCTAGCTGCTCTTTAGCATCAGAGGTTTACGAAAGAGCCCAGAAACGCACCAAGGAATTCTGGGGCAAAGATGGCATTGCTTCAAGATAAAATGATTATTAGTATTAGTGCATGTGTACCTAAAGCAGAGCTGTGATACTGAAATACATGTATGATATAGGATATTTTTATTTTAATTTGCACTTAATGTGTCAACTTCCGTCCATAGTATATGGCAGCAAATTGAACGCTTGGTATTTATGTCAGGTACTAGATGATGTCAAGTAAATTTAATGATGAAGGATAGTAATAGATATAGTTTACAGTATAAAAAAAAACGACATCTGCATAGAATTATGTCACACAGAATTTTTGATAAATGCATTTTAGCTTGTAATGAGGCATTAAAGGTGTTTTAAAACGGAGTGATTTTGTAAACATTCTCATGTATGATACATGTATTTAGATTTTTTTTTAAAACAGTTATTGTTTACAATGACTTTTTTCTGTTTCTTGCTTTAAAACTGATTAGAAGTGCTTTAAAGGTAGTCTGATCCTCAGGTGCTGAAAATCAGCTTTTAAGTAATTGAAAATGCTCACAAAAATGTCACTGATTTCACAGAGTAACCTGAATTTACCCATGATATTTCTTCAAAGTTCATCATTATAGTTAATCATATTATGTACGGAAAATTATCAAATCTCAAATATATTTTCAGGAAATGCGAATAAAAACACCAGCTATGCATTTTATAATTGAAAATTGATCAACAAACATATTTTAGGATAAAAAAATATAGGTATCCAGGCATTTGGAGAAAATTGCATCTTTTTTATGCTTATACAGTATTTTAGTTCTTCTATTTACTTCAGTTGTTATATAATACACAGTGTAAAACCTTGAGCTATCATTGCTAGACATCACATATAACGTCTAATTTTGTATGCTAATAAGCATTGATATCTAATGCTAGATTAAAGGAAATTCGATTTCTCTAAAAAAGAATTTATTTTTTTTTCCTTTTATGTGGTACAAATGTCAACTTTTTACATGACAGTTGCTAATACTTCAAAGAACCTTGAATCATATTGAGATGCATAAAATGAAAATCGTTGCACAAAAAGATCTCAATTTCAAGCTTCATTATGAGACTTTTTAAATAAAATAATAAATTTAAGAGTTGTCCTTCCTGGCTGAGGATCAGATATCCTTAACTCAGCTATTTTGTTGGATTATACTTACAGAAAATAGATTGGAGGAATTTACTTTCAAATTTCACAGGAGGTACCTAACTGGAAAATTGAATCAAGTCCTGGTCCCTCCCATATTTGTTGGACCTGCCATGAAATTTTTAGAGATTTAGATATATTTAGATGTATATGTAGCCGTATTTTTATATTCTAATTGCCTCATCTCAGTATATTGTATCAGGTTGTTTTTTGTTGTTTTATTTTTACAAACATACTCCATGTTTTATTTTAATTAAGTTGAATTTTAATTAGTTTTCAACTTTTTCATTGAATCTCATTAAAACATTTCAAATTGTACATCACCTAGTACCTTCATTAAACTATTTTTTTAAATTAAAAGGTTGCATGAAAGAGTTATGGTTGCAATGCTAGATACACAATAATTTTTTTCATGTGTATTTGTGTTAAATGTACTAATCATAGATTTGTTATGTGTAGTTGTTGGAGCATGCTAAAAATTTGTGTTAGAAAGATATTTAGATGAATATATTCTTTAAAAATAATTGCTGAATTTGTTTTGACTTATTCTGACGAGACTTTTTTTTTTGACAAAGGTGAGTTTGAATAGAAATGAAAGCGTTTTTTTTTAACTTGTTCAAGAAAAACGGACACACACACACATTTTCATAGCACTCATGTTTAACATTTCTTTGTCCCTAAATATATAATAAATAATAATTCTGAATCTATAGCACGACAGCAGATTTTATCTCTATGTCTCCATGTGCTAATCACTTCCTAGCCACATTTCCATGAATAATTTACTTAATCTCAATGTGGTCTCGCTAAATCTCACCAGAGCTTCTGAGAGAGCTACTCTGAACTCCTTGGGTTTTATAATTTTCAGAACACCGAAAAATAAAAGGTTCCGAACACATTAGTAGAGGTGTCGTATTTAAAACTGGAATTTCGTAAATTCAATGGTATACAGACCTTGTTGGCAAATATATATATATATCACTGGATTGTATTTTGGCTGACTTATTTCTTGACCCTTTGTTTTTTAGTAAATATGACTACGGGATGTTCCATTTACTTGATCAATACATGGGGCCTATGGTAAGTGCAGACAACAAGGGTTTCTCACTCCATCTAGGCAACTGAAATTTCCGGGAGTCTGTGTTTATGCCCTATTCATATGTTAGTATTATTTGTAGTTATTTTCGATCTCTGTTCATTATCTTCACCATTTTCATGTTAAAAAACTGAAGAAAAAAAAGTTTTTGTAACCAGATCAAAATATTTATTCAATATAAATTTTTGCTAATTTACATGCTTATTACAAAAATTATACTACATCGATGAAGTTAACGGAGAGAAGTTTTTGGCTATTACAGTGACAATCTAAAGTTACAGTGGAAATCTTTACCTAATGCTTGATGTTGGCAAGATAGACGTCGTAGGGCCATGTGTATTGGTAGATGAGGATAAAATTGATGTTTTCTTGCTTTAAAAAGTCCATGCACAGCAAATGTAAGCTTTTTAATGGTCAGGATATAAATTATAAACAATTTTATAAAATACATCCCCTGATGTGAATTTCAGGTTATGTATTAGAAAGAAGGCATTGAAAATATTACAACATATTTCATTATATGTATATTATATTTAATAAAATCATTTTAATACATAATCAGATAATTACAATATGTACTTAGTACTACACAGCAGTAATGACTGTCAATTTTAATTCATTTCTTTTCACTGTCAAACTTCAAAGGTAATTGGATACTTTTTTTTTACATATAAATTAGGTACATGCATATTTATAAACCAAGACCCAAGTACCTGTGTCAAACTTCATGGACCATATTTCTCACCTAAGCACATTAGCTAGAAAAAATCGGTTTAGTATTGAAAAATTTGTGTTCACAAATACACTTCTGGCCGCTTTTCTGGGGAAAGGGACATATTTTTTCACTCTTGAATGCACATTAACTGTGGATGCTTCGATCCATTTTCTTTGCCTAATGATAATCATGGCCTTAGATTTTTTCTGTATGTTTGATCTTGTATTTTGGCCCTGCTCTACCCCTCAGGGAACGGGATTTGAACAAACTTGAATCTAGTACGCTAAATGAGGATGCTTCTGGATTAACACATGTATGACAAATCATGGATTTACTGTTCTTTGGAAGATATTTAAAGATATTTCCTATATATTCGAACGAAAGAATTTGATTGCCCATTGTGGCCACACCCTACTCAGGAGGGGGTCATGATTTGAAAAATATGAATCAACATTACCAGAGGATGCTTCCGTATAAATATGATAACTAATCATGGCTTTGTTGTTCTTGAGAAGATTTTCCCAATAATTCAATTCAATATATTTGATTGCCCATTGTGGCCTTATACCCAGGGGGATTTAAACAAAATTGATCTACACATACGTATACACTACCCGAGGATACTTCCATATATGCGAGGGTTGATCCAAATGTTCGTGGAATTTCTTTCTAAAACTTTATCGTGATGTGATTAAAGCAAACAATAGACATATTTATAAAATAGAGCCAATATGCAATAATACTGGAAAAATTCACCAAGTTTCAATTACCATTAAGGTCACATGAGCCTTCTTAACATGGACAGTTGTAAAATCCGGGGGAGACCTACGTGACGTAACGTCATTGGGTATGTTACGTCACATAGGAACATCTCATCTTTATGTTCAAATCGACTTAAGGAAATTCTACAGAACGCTGCATTCTTTTCTCCATTTCTGCTCTCGAGAAAAGCATGGATACCCATCTCGCACCCACTTTCTTTTTATTACAAGTACGATCATTTTTCAAAATACGCTCCATCGTTCCATATGACTCGTATGTTCCTATTTCAGTAGCAATGTCAACCACAGTACGTCGGCTGTCCACGTCCATTAACGCTCTCAACTTGTCTACGAGGAAAAAAAAACGACCTTCCAATGGGCGGTCACACCTTTCATCATCCTCCACGGAAGTTCTCTTTTCCTTAAATTTCTCACGCCACTGGAAAGCCAGTGGCTTACTGCCAGTTTGTCCTGCCTGTATCATTAGTATATGCGTTTAAGTCGGAGTGTTCCCGAGATTTTCACAAAACTTATTACTTGACCGAATTTCGACGTTGTCGAACGATGTCATGATGAACAACAAATCATGAATTATAGAAAAAAAACTAAATATCCAGTAAAATCGGTAAAACTTTCACACAAAGGTTTATAAGAGGTCAAGCAATCCATAATAATGACATCATTTTCGTTTCATATGCTACTTAATGTGTTTTTTTCCTCACAGTGAGTATTAAGTATTAAAATAATAATGAACGAATAAATGTCTCCCCCGCATTTTCAAACATCCGTTTGCATGGCAACTGCCAAAGTGTTACAATCATGAATATTTTAAATATTTTTTTATTTAAAAAAATTCAACAAGTGTATATATCTCCATCTGTAATTTTCAATCACTTCCACCAATAAATAAATAAAATATTAAGAAAATCCATGAACTTTTGGATCAACCCTCGTATAAACATAGCCAATCATGATTTTGCTGTTCTTCAGAAGAAGATTTTTAAACATTTACCATATAAAACTTTTATCACCCATTGTGGCCCTTCGCTTATCCTGGGGGTTATGATTTGAAGAAAATTGAATGTACTGTTGTACACTACTTGTTGAGTCAAGAATGACTAATTATGGCTTTGATATTCTTCGAGAAGGAAATTTTTAATTTGTTTCTATGTATTCCTCTATTAGCCCCTCCATATCCCTGGGATTAGGACTTGAACAACTTTGAGCCTTGGCTTCACTACCAGAACAAATACTGAAGATGCTTCCATATATTAAATTTGAACAATCATCATGATCATGGTTTTTCTGTTCCTAGGAAGGTTTTTAAAAGAAAATTTCCTATGTACACAAAGGTTAAACTTTTATAGCCCATTGTTAACCCTACCAAGTTCCATGATTTGAACAATTTGAAAAAAAAACACAATTTGAGAATGTTTCCATATAAATATGACTAATCGTGCTTTGCTGTACTTATCAAGAAGATTTTTTAATGATTATAATTTTTGTATGTACGCCTTCATAAAACTTTTATCGCCTATTGTGGACCCTCCTTACCCAAGGAGGTCATGATTTGAACAAATTAGAATTTCCACGATGTCAGGAAGCTTTCACTTGAGTTTTATGTTTTCTGGTCCTGTGGTTTTTGAGTAGAAGAATCTTAAATGACCTTAGGGCACCCTATTTTTATTTTTTCTTGCCCTTCTGAGTTCATTTGAACAAAGTTGAAATCACTTTACTCAAGGATACTCTGTTCCAGGTTTGATTGAAATTGGCCTAGTGCTTGTGCAGAAGAAGAAGAAATTGTAAAGAGTTTTAATTACAGCAACTAAGACAATAGAAAATATTTAATCAGATAAGCTCATCTGAGGCTTTTAGGCTTAGGTGAACTAATCATACAAAAAGTTATGGAAATCTATAATTATGCTTACACTAAATAGTATGTAAGAAGCCTCAAAATTTAACGGCATACATCTTAATGCTAGTGTTTCCCAATTTTGACCCCATGCAACAAATATTTCTATCCCTGTTTAATAAGAAAAATACAGGACTCGGCATATCTTCAATAATACGTATCAGACACCCATCATTGGTTAATATATGAACATTGTTACTATGTGTCCCTGCCACATAGATAATATCATCACAGTCAATGTGAAGACCATACGGATGTCTTAGCTTCTCGTGACTATATGTCCAGACAGGGTCACCTTCGTCTGACATGGCAGTCACTGAGTGTTTTCCCATACAAGTACTGAAAACAATATGTTCCGTCTTTGTGACAGCAACATAGTAAACACCTTTAGACGTGGAAAAAGTTCGCAGCTCAATACCCTCTGTATCCATTTTAATAATTGATGTATTACATGCTATATATAGGAAATGTTTCCAAAAAGATATCCCATAACAAGGACTACCAACATTGATTGTACGCTGCATCTGAAATTCCTCAGCTGAGAGAACCATTATCAATTTACTTGCAAAGCATGATGCAAAATAAAAATTCCCATTTCGCTTTATATCAAAGGTTCTGTGACCAAGCGTAATCTCATTTTGAAAATTCCAATTGTCTTTTTTGGCAGAGTATCTCTTTACTGTATTTGTGTTCCAGTCAGGGAATATCACATCAGTGTTAGAAAGAAACGCCGCACTACAAATGCTGCTACCTGGTAATTGCCACTCTTGATATAACGCAGGTTGTAGTTTTTTAACATCCAACATGTGTAATAAACTTTCCCTTTCTTCAACAATTTCAGTGTTTCCAATTTTCGAAAGATTTGCAACTGCTTTAAAATCAAGTTCTAAATTGGATTGCAATTTGAACTCAATTTTCTCTACTTGTTTATTCTTGATGTAGTCCAATGTTTTCTTGGTTTTGAGGAATTCCATTAGAAAACTGACATCCTGTAAACTTGTAGCAGTCTCTATATCTTTACGACATAGTTCCATTAAGTGAATTCTATCACCAATTGCTTGAATATTTTTTGTCAGTTTTTCTTTGCACTGTTTTATTTGTGTGGAAATTTTGTCTAAAAACTCATTTTCTAGTTTTTCAAGATTCTGAATAATTCTCTGTTTCACACGTTGTACCTCGCCTGTTATAGCATCTGCCTCATCTTCTATTTCTGTGATATTTTTTTCTTCTCTGCATTTTGTCTCGGAAAGTTTTTGTTCAAATTCCTTGATGTCACTTAATAAGTCCCCTACTAATCCACTGCCTCTGACTTTTTCTGCTTTTAGTTCAATGGTTTCAACGCTTTCACATTTTCTGTGTTCAGTGCTGCAGCACATCGCACAGCACGGTTCTTCATGATCATTGCAATACAGCTCAGTCGGTCGATCATTGTGTTTTTTGCAATGGAGTTTTGAAGAAAGTTTTGCCATTTCAGGTACACATTTTATCTCATCAACACGGCAGATCTTGTGATCCCGAGATACACGATTTTTTCGGTGACACTTGGTACAAATATCACAAAGTGCTTCACAGCAAGACAAACAATAGTTTTTTTGCCTCCTCCGTCTCATTTTTTCGTTCACAGGCTTCACATATTTTGAGAGAAATATCCCCTAGTTGTCTGTGATTTGGAAAATGCTGACTCCAGTCTTTAAAATTTAAAGAGAAACTAGGAGCAGGCACAAATTCTCGACATACAGGACACTGAAATCCTATTGGGTCCTCCTTTGATTCACAGGTTGATACAATGTGGGAAGACACACAATCGTGACAAAATATATGTGAACATGGCAAGACACGTGGTATTTTAAACTGCTCAAAACAAATCGGACATTTAGAAAGGTCTACTTCGCTCAGACCTTTCTGTTCTGTTATTGAACACGCCATCAATTTAGCACTACACCATTTGTGTGATTTGGGTAATTGATCATGATTCCTTGCATTTAAAAACGAAAGTTACCAAATGAAATTATATGGAATGCCGATCCCGTAACTTAGCTATAGGAATCAGAGATTCTTAAAACTCTTACACTCTTATACCGCCGCAAAAACCACATAGAGATCCTTTTATCCCGAACTGCTTTTATTAGAAATTTTTAGTCTTGTAAACAGCAATTGTTGAACATCTATGAAACCAAGACACTGTAAAGACCGATATTATTTTGGTTCAATTTCTAATAAACTAAGATTTAGATGTTTGATACAATTAGACTTAATCCCAACTTTTGTTGATTAAAAAACATCAAAATTCAGGACTCTGTTCCATTTTTAACTTAACTCTTGTGCATAAAAATATTAAATTTAAGATTCTGCTTTAAAGACTCATCTTATAAGATACTCGATTTTACTACAAGTTACATGAAAAATTCTTATTTATTACAGTTCGCCTTTTTTTTAAAGATTGTGTGTTTTTTTTTTCTTTTTTTTTTTTTTAAGAAAACCTTGAATTATTAATTAAAGAGAAATATGAATGCAGGATTCAATTTGTCAGAATAATTCAGGCTATAGCAAAAGTTGGTGTGATCTACAGAAACAAAAGTAAGGTAAAACTTTAGCGAGGGTGTTGAGATTGCTAAAATTAAATATCGCTAATTTATTCTGCATTAAAGGTTACTGTTGTCTTTCTATGCACCATAAAATGGCTTAAATTACTGAAAATTAACATTTTTGAATTTAGATAACGTTAAATATATTATACTTTACTTGGATGTTTATCTCTGAAATTCTTTATCTATCATCGTGTGCCTATTATTTAAATGACTGTATCTTATTATCTAATTTCTTTTAAAGCAAGATTAAGACATTCCAATTGACATTAAGTGACTCTGTCAAAAGAATCGTTACTCAGTAGGTGTAAATGCCTTGGGATCTGTTGAGAAACACACATATTCATTGATTAATTCAGCTTGTGCCATAATACTCTCTCTCTTACAAAAAGCTATGTCCATTATATTTCCTTCAGTTTGGAGGCTCGATGCTCTAACGGCCACATCCAACTCGGTTAAGAGTCCCTAAGATATTGTATAAATTCATGTTGATTGTTATTTACACCGTCCATAATAAATTCTGAAACCTATTTTACCAGTTCTTAGACTTTATATTGGGAGACCATAGGAAATACGACACCTTTCTGTTACGTTTCATTACGTACCCACAGCACCGTTACTTTATTACCCGCCAACATTCCTTCTTCCCCATTTACGCTAAACAACGGATTTAGACCAAGAATCAGTTTTTTAACTTATAACCAAAATTTTATTGGTTATATTACTTTTATTAATAATTGTGATTGCGTCAAGATTTTTCCTATATACACAAAAGCAAAGAACATAGTAAAGCTTTTCCTTTACAAATCCCCTCAGATTAATTATTGACAAAATTATGAATCATAAAATGATCAACATTCGAAAAGGGGAAACACAATTTAAATATCTGTAACGGCTTTTCAATATGTTATCACCTTGTAGGCTTGTACATACATATATTCAAAAAAGTTTTTTTCTTTTTTTCTTAAAACACTTATGCACTTTCACGAGCAGAAGATAATCAATCTGTAATTGATCCTAGTTCATACTGTTTTCATATTGTAAATTTATTATTTTAGATTAACATGAGTTAATGTATATTCAGATATAAAATTGATAAAAGATTCCTTGCTTTTATTAGTCAATAGCAAATGTAAGCTTTTCAATGGTCAGGATATAAAATTACACTCGATTTTAAAAGTCATATCCTCTGATGTGATTCTTTTTAATGTTATGTGTCAGAAAGATTGCATTGTACATATTATAACATATTATAAACTAGAGGTATTTAATTTTTATCCATAAAATGCATAATTACAATTAAATGCACTTTGAATATTACAGTAGTAATAACTGTCATTTTCCATTTCTTTTCACTGTGAAACTCAATATTATAAAACTATATTACAAAAAGTAATGGAAATTTACAACTGTGCTTAAACTCAATTGCATGTAAAAAGCTTTAAAACTTAATTGCATACATCGTAATCCTAGTCTCCCATACATTTGTCCCCATACAACATATATTTCTATCCTTGTTAAATATGAAAAACACAGGACTCGGCATATCTTCAATAATACGTAGGAGAAACCCATTGCTGGTTAACACATGAACATTGTTACTATTTGTCCCTGCCACATAAATAATATCATCACAGTCAATATGAAGACCATATGGATGCCTTAGACACTGGTGAACATATGTCCAGACATTGTCACCCTCGTCTGTTATGGCAGTCACTGAGTGTTTTCCCTTATAAGCACTGAAAACAATATGCCCGTTCTTTGTGACAGCAACATAGTGAACACCGCTTGATGTGGGATAAATTCTCAACTGATTTCCCTCTGTATCCATTTTAATAATTGAGGAAGAACATGCTGCATACAGGAAGTGCTTCCAAAATGAAATCCCATAACAAGCATCACCAACATGGATTGTACGCTTCATTTGAAAATCCTCAGCTGAAAGAACCTTTATCACCTGACTCGAAATGCATGATGCAAAATAAAAATCTCCATTTCGCTTTATTTCAAAGGTACCATGTCCAAGCATAATCTCAGTTTGATAAATCCATTTGTCTTTTTTGGCAGAGTATCTCTTTACAGTATTTGTGAGCCAGTCAGGGAATATCACATCAGTGTTAGAAAGAAACATCGCACTACGGATGCTGCTACCTGGTAATTGCCACTCTTGATATAACGCAGGTTGAAGGTTTTTAACATCAAACATATGTAATAAACTTTCTCTGTTCTCAATAATTTCAGCGTTTCCAATTTTTGAGACATTTGCAACTGCTTTAAAATCAAGTTCTAAATTGGATTGCAATTTGAACTCAATTTTCTCTACTTTTTTATTCTTGATGTAGTCCAGTGTTTTCTTGGTTTTGAGGAACTCCATTAGAAAACTGACATCTTGTAAATTTGTAGCTGTCTCTAACTCTTTTCGACATAGTTCCATGAAATGTAGTTTATCACCAACTGTCTGTATATTCTTTGTCAGTTTTTCTTTGCATTGTTTTATTTGTGTGGAAATTTTGTCTAAAAACTCATTTTCTAGTTTTTCAAGATTCTGAATAATTCTCTGTTTCACACGTTGTACCTCGCCTGTTATAGCATCTGCCTCATCTTCTATTTCTGTGATATTTTTTTCTTCTCTGCATTTTGTCTCAGAAAGTTTTTGTTCAAATTCCTTGATGTCGTTTAATAAGACTCCTACAGATCCACTGTTTCTGACATTTCCTGCTTTTTGTTGAATGGTTTCCACGCTTTCACATTTCCTGTGTTCGGTGCTGCAGCACATTGCACAGCACGGTTCTTCATGATCATTGCAAAACAGCTCTATCGGTCGATCTTTGTGTTTTTCGCAATGGATGTTTGAAGAAAGTTTTGACAATTCAGGCACACATTTTATCTCGTCAACACGACATATCTTGTGATCACGGGTTGCACGACTTTTCCGGTGACACTTAGTACAATTATCACAAAGTGCTTCACAGCAAGACAAACAATATTTATCCGCTCTCTCCGTCTCATTTTCTCGTTCACAGGCTTCACATATTTTGAGTGAAATATCCCCTAGATCTCTATTGGTTGGAAAATGCTGACTCCAGTCTTTAAAATCTAAAGAGAAACTAGGAGCAGGCACAAAATCTCGACATACAGGACACTGAAATCCTAATGGGTCCTCCTTTGGTTGACAGGTTGATACGATGTGGGAAGACACACAATCGTGACAAAATATATGCGAACATGGCAAGACACGTGGTGTTTTAAACTGTTCAAAACAAATCGGACATTTAGAAAGGTTTACTTCGCTCAAACCTTTCTGTTCTGTTATTGAACACGCCATCAATTTAGCAATTTCACCATGTGGAATCCTTGAATTTAAAACGAAAATTACGAATGAAATTATATGGAATGCAGATCCCGTAACTTTACTATAGCAATCAGAGATTCTTAAAACTTTACACTTTCATACCGCCGCAAAACCCACATAGACAGCCTTTATCCGGAACTTCTTTTACTAGAAATATTCAGTCTTATAAACAGCATTTGTTAGAACATCTATGAAACGAAGACACTGTAAAGACCGATATTATTTTGGATCAATTTTAATAAGTTTGAGGTGTTTGATACAATTAGATTTAATCTCAACTTTTGTTGATAAAAGAATATCAAAGTTTTAGGAACCTGTCCCATTTTAAACTTAACTCTTGAGTAAAATGTTCATAAGAATATTAAATTTTAATATTTTGCTTTAAAGACTGATGATGCTCGATTTTACCTCAAGTAACATGAAGAATTCTTATTTATTACATTTCGTCTTTATTTCCAGATTGCAGGTTTTAGAAAACCTTGAATTATTAATTAAAAAGAAATATGAATTTAGGTTTCAACTTTTCAACATTCAGGATATATCGAAAGTTGATATCCCAGCTAGCACAAAAACATTTTTAAAATATTTTAAACATGATAAAAACATTTTCAAAATGTTACAAAAACATTTTCGAAAATGTTTTAATCACGTGATTTTGTATGTTTTTTAAAAACGTTTTTAAAACATTTTAGCACAATGTTTCAGCAAATGTTATTAGAACATTTTTATTATTAAAATGTCACGAAAACATTTAAAAAAAAATGTTTTAATCACGTGATTTTGTATGTTTTTTTAAAACGTTTTTAAAACATTTTAGCAAAAATGTTTCAGCAAATGTTATCAGAACATTTTCCTTAAATGTTACGAAAACATTTTCGAAAATGTTTTATTCACGTGATTTTGTATGGTTTTTAAAACGTTTTTAAAACATTTTACCCAAATGTCGCAATGACATTTCTTTCCTGAAATGTCACATTACGTTTTCATTAAATGATATCAACATCATTTTGTATGACTTTAAAAGGGCTTTTCATACATTTCATCTTAATTATAACTCCCAAAGAATTAATCACAGCTGAATGAATTCACTTTTTACAAATTTTAACACAAATCCTTATTTAATATGAAAAACATATTATAGTTACATTTCCGGTACAAGTTCTGAGTTATTTTGTTTTAATCCAACAGGTATTTTTAAAGGAAAAAAATTCAATCTCTGGAATTAAAAACAACAGAATCACATTAATCCCTCCCACTAAAAAGAATAAACAGGCCTAGATCACTGTTATCATTTACGATTCCGCCAAAAAGCATGTATTTACATGAACATGTGTAGGTTCCACAGAGCGGCGGATCTGTTATATAAATGGAATCGCACATATTGATAAAGTTCACAAAAAGTCTGTTCTCGGAAAGAATTGATCAAGAAGCTCTTTTCTGTAAAGCAGAACCTGTAAACACAGAGACAAAAGTGTTTAAGTCATCTGTCTACATCAGATATTTAAATGATGAAAATACACAAGAACATTTTTTAAATCTTAAAATCAGATGAAATTTTCCCATTTACATTATTGAAAAGAATTAGAGTTGCTGCATGCTCATAACTAAAGCACAATGATATTATTTAAGAGCAATGATATTTACGTACCAAAAAATTGCCTTTATCAGCTAGTGGTGGTTCTTTCAAATGTGGCAATTTGAATGAAATTCAAGTCTGTTGATGGAACTGTCATCTAACTGCAATATGATTTCATGTTTCAATATTAAGATATATTGAGTTGTGATCAACAGAAGACAAGGAGGTATATTTGTTGTTGCCTAAAGTATTCAATTTAAATGCATAATAGCTTTGCTTTTGCTACACATATGCATACAAAAATACAATGATGTATACTGGTAACAGAAAATTAAGTCACTTCTAAAAATTATCTTTTGAAATCTCTGATGAAATTATACTCATAATGCAGGTGTTAATAATCCAGCGCTAATTCCTCTGGCTTATATGATGCAAAAGTCTTGTTTGAAAATCAGCAACAAGAAAACGCACACATCCTGTTTACCAGAATTCAAATTTTGGCTGCAATCCACTAAACACTCTAACGCACTGCCCTGCAGGAGAATTGCATAACAAGGTTATCATGACACTGAAACTGACCAGTGAGGCCACTCCTAATCTGCTGCCTTGGCGTTTAGGAAATATGATGCAAACAGACGATATCGTCAAAAATCAGGCTGTGTTTATCATTGTAAACAGTTTGCTTATTATTTTGTTTTCTTTTTTAAACTGAAGTATCTTTAGTTTATCTTTAGTTTATTCAGTGAACTTTGTATTGATTACATGTCTGTCAACTCAATAAGAATTTTTGGAAAAAAGAAAGAAAAATACAGGGATAATGTTTTCGGAACATTTTTAAAAACAATTCTTCATTTAATCTCAATCCTCTCTGGATATTCTTTATATTTTTTTTCAGAAACTTTCTCGGGAAAAATTGAATATTTTTAAAACATTTTGAAAATTACATTACAAAATATTGCATCAATGCTAAATAAAATGTCGTAGTCTTTAAAAGGATAAACGTTATAGTCAATGTTCTAAAAACATTTTTACAACATACTTTGAAAATAAACAAATGCATTAATATTAACAATGACATAAATATTTTCAAAACATTTTGAAAATGTTTCTATAAAATGTTTCAGTTGTAGGAGGAGAAAACGTTTTGTTCAATGTTTTAAAAACATTTTCACGACCAACACTGAAGCATTTAAATATTAAACTAAAAGAAATATTAAGAATGTTTTAAAAACATTTTGACAACGTTCCATCGAAATTTTTTAGAAACGTAACATTACTAGGTTTCATATATATAGAAGAGGAGTGTTTTATTTCATGTTTTGAAAACATTTTTATATCGTAATATGAAACTGTTTAATATATGCGAACAAGACATACCTTTCGAATCATTTTTAAAACGTTTCAAAAACACTTTTTAAAATGTTCCTTAAAGATTTTACTTTAACCTTTTTGAAAACATTTTTAAAATGTTTTTAAAATGTTACAATGGGAAAGAAAAATGTTTTTAAAACATTTTAAAAATGTTTACTCTGTTTTAAAAAGCACTTTTTAACGTTAACGATTGACAGGAAGTATACAAAGTTACTAAAAACCGGTACATAACATAGGAAATTGACAAGTATCGTCCTTTGTTAAAAAATGATTTCAAACTATAAATAGTTTATTTTGAAAATATTCTTTTATTAACTATATTATTAAAAAATTCTCAATCACTTTTGGGAACAGTGTATTATGTTAGGATAAACATAAACATGTATAAATAAGCTAATGCTAATCAACTAATTTTAATTTTAGTAATTTCACTGTTATATATTCCTTTTCAAAAGGCTTACTATCTGATGTAATGAAGCTTTCCATTTGCTACCAATTCTAAAAGATGGTCTTCTAAGTTTAGTTTATTAAAAGATTTCAAAATCTGATGCGTAAAATGACAGTATGTAAATAAATAAATAATAAAATTAAAACAAAATTAAACATGATATTTTATTATTTGTAAATTGCTGTTCCTTGCTATGGATAACAAACTACACCTCTAACAAGAAAATTGAGCTTACATTATAAGTACCACTCATCAACGAATTTACATCCTCCACAATTTAATGAATTGGGATAACAAATTTAAATTATATTTCCTTTTGTAGGTGTCAGAAAATACAAAATTACGTCCCAACGAACCAGCAAAGAATAGACAAAAGCTTTTACTTTACAAATCCCCTCAGATTAATTATTGACAAAAATTACAAATCATGAAAAATGATCAACAATCCAAAAGAGGAAGACACAATTTAAATATATGTTACAACTTTTCAATACATCACTTCGTACACATCCATTATTTTTTTTTTTAAACAATTGTGTACTTTCAAGAGCATAAGATAATCAATCTATAATTGATTCTAGCTCAGACTCATATATATTTCATATTGTAAATCTATTTTTTAGATTAACATGAGTTAATGTATATTCAGAAATAAAACTGATGAAAGATTCCAGGCTTTTAATGAGTCCATAGCAAATGCGTTTTTCAATGGTCAGGATATACAATTACAATTTTAAAAATCACATCCTCTGATGTGGATTTCATTTACGTTATGTATCAGAAAGATTGCATGGAACATATCTGTTTTTAATTTTTATTAATAAGATGTATAATTATGGGTTTTGTACAATACAAGAGCAATATCTGTCAATTTCCATATTTTTGCACTGTCAAAACTTACCATAATACAAAAAGTAAAGGAAGTTTGCAATTGTGGTTAAACTAAATTGTGTGTAAAAAGCTTTAAAACTTAACTGCATACATCTTAATGCTAGTCTCCCATACATTTGTCCCCATACAACAAATATTTCTATCCTTGTTAAATATGAAAAACACAGGACTCGGCATATCTTCAATCATACGTAGGAGAAACCCATCAGTGGTTAACGCATGAACATTGTTACTATGTGTCCCTGCCACATAGATTAAATCATCACAGTCAATATGAAGACAATATGGATGTCTGAGTTTTTCGTGAGTATATGTCCAGACAGTGTCACCCTCGTCTGTTGTGGCAGTCACCGAGTGTTTTCCAATACAAGTACTGAATACAATATCCCCGTTTTTTGTGACTGCAACATAGTGAACACCGCTAGATGTGGGATATGTTCTTAACATATTTCCCTCTGTGTCCATTCTAATAATTGATGTATCACATGCTGTATATAGGAAGTGTTTCCAAAATGGAATCCCATAACATGAATTACCAACATTGATTGTACGCTGCATTTGAAAATCCTCAGCTGAGAGAACTTTTATCAATTTACTCAAAGGGCATGATGCAAAATAAAAATCCCCATTTCGCTTGATTTCAAAAATACCATGTTCAAGCACAATCTCATTTTGAAAATTCCACTTGTCTTTTTTTGCAGGGTATCTCTTTATGGTGTTTGTGTCACAGTCAGGGAATAACACATCAGTGTTAGAAAGAAACATCACACTACGAATGCTGCTACCTGATAATCGCCACTCTTCATACAACTCAAGTTGAAAGTTTTTAACGTCAAACACATGTAATAAACTTTCTCTTTTTTCAATAATTTCAGTATTTCCAATTTTCGAAAGATTTGCAACTGCTTTAAAATTTTCTTCCAAACGTGATTGCAATTTGAACTCAATTTTCTCTACTTGTTTATTCTTGATGTAGTCCAATGTTTTCTTGGTTTTCAGGAATTCCATTAGAAAACGGACATCTTGTAAACTTGTAGCTGTCTCTAAATCTTTTCGACATTGTTTCATGAAGTGAATTTTATCACCAACTGTCTGTATATTCTTCGTCAGTTTTTCTTTCCACTGTTTTTCTTGTGTGGAAATTTTGTCTAAAAACTCATTTTCTAGCGTTTCTAGATTCTGGATAAGTTTTTCTTTCAGACGTTGTACCTCGCCTGTTATAGCATCTGCCTCATCATCTATTTCTGTGATGTTTTTTTCTTCTCTGCATTTTGTCTCGGAAAGTTTTTGTTCAAATTCTTTGGTGTCATACAATAAGACTCCTATTGACCCCTTGCTTTTGACCTTTTCAGCTTTTTGTTGAATGGTTTCCACGCTTTCACATTTTCTGTGTTCGGTACTGCAGCTTATTGCACAGCGCGGTTCTTCATGATCATTGCAAAACAGCTCTATCGGTCGATCCTTGTGTTTTTTGCAATGAATGTTTGAAGAAAGTTTTGACATTTCAGGTACATATTTTATCTCATCAAGAGGACAGGTCTTGTGATCACGGGATGAACGATTTTTCCGATGATACTTGGTACAATTACCACAAAGTGCTTCACAGCAAGACAAACAATAGTTATCCGCCCCCTCCGTCTCATTTTCTCGTTTACAGGCTTCACAGATTATGGGAGAGATATCCTCTAAATGTCTTTTGGTTGGAAAATGCTCACTCCAGTCTTTAAAATTTAAAGAGAAACTAGGAGCAGGCACAATTTCTCGACATACAGGACAGTGAAATCCTAATGGGTCCTCCTTTGGTTGACAGATGGATACAATGTGGGAAGACACACAATCGTGACAAAATATATGCGAACATGGCAAGACACGTGGTGTTTTAAACTGTTCAAAACAAACTGGACATTTAGAAAAGTCTACTTCGCTCAAACCTTTCTGTTCTGTTATTGAACACGCCATCTATTTAAGCATTTTCATTTTCACAATTTGGATTCCTTGAATTTAAAAGAAAATTTACGAATTAAATTATATGGAATGCCGATCCCGTAACTTAACTATAGCAATCTGAGATTTTTAAAAACTCTTACACTCTTACAACGCAGTAAGAACCACATAGAGAGCATTTTATCCGGAACTGCTTTTGCTTCAAATACATGTATTCATTCTTATAAACAGCATTTGTTAGAATATCTATGAAACCAAGACACTAATGACCGATATTGTTTTGGTTCAATTTTTGATAAAGATTCAGGTGTTTGATACAATTAGACTTAATCCTAATCTCGGTGGAGATTCGGCTGGGCTAGATATTTGGTCTGACGCCCACCGAATCTCGGGACAGTCCTTCATAATTCATGTCTGGGAATTCAGCCCCAACTTCGGCCGGCTATATCAAGAATTATTCACCTAGGCGACACTGTCGTTGACTTCAATTAAGTCATTTAGTTGTTTAATTACTCTCTGTCACTATTTCTTTCACATTGCTTACCGTCTAGCCATGTAAATCCCACCATAAAAACATTCACTAAAATCTCCAATCAAAATATGGCTCCCCTGACGTAATTGTTTATCTCCTCGCACTAAAGAGTTCCTCTATGGTCTGTTTTCATTTCTATGAAAAAATACTTAAAAGCCACAGTAGAGGTTCAGTATCACATAAAAGAAAACAGACTGTAGGAACTCTTTAGTGCGAGGAGATAAACAATTAATTGAAGTGAACGACAGTGTCGCCTAGGTGAATAATTCTTGATATAGCCGGCCGAAGTTGGAGCTTAATTCCCAGACATGAATTATGAAGGACTGTCCCGAGATTCGGTTGGCGTCAGACCAAATATCTAGCCCAGCCGAATCTCCACCGAGATTAGATTTAATCCTAACTTTTGTTGATAAAAGAATATCAAAATTTAGGTAATTGTTCCATTTTTAACTTAAGTCTTTAGTAAAATGTTCATAAAAATATTAAATTCAAGATTCTGCTTTAAAGACCTTGAATTATTAATTAAAAAGAAATATGAATTCAAGTTTCAACTTTTCAACATTCAGGCTATATCGAAAGTTGATATGATCTCCAGAAACAAAAGTAAGATAAAAATTTGGCCCCTAAATAACCGTTATATTTCAATTTATGTGAAATCGTGAGAGTACCAGGTGTAGTGTAAACATAGTCTGCAGTCAGATCAACATTCCCACGCTAGCTGCAATGAATGAATGAAAGCTGATTGATATATGATATGGGTGCAGTATGGGAGTTGGGGAGTGTGAGAACCTAGAGAGTTTTAGTTTTGTATCTTGTATTCAATGTAGCTGGATGTAGTTTTGTAGCTGAATAAATATATATATACATTGAACCCGTGTTAGGTTATTGACTAACACAACATGGTGGCAGCGGTGCTTATAATTTTCTAAGTTAAAAAGGACTACCCCAGTAACAACATGGCATCATTTCAATTTGCTCACCCGGAGAAAAGTTTGACTTTACAAAGCCAGAGAGATGGGGAAAATGGTTCCAAAGATTAGAGAGATTCTGAGTCGCCTGAGGACTTTGTGAAGCAGATGAGGACGTACAAGTCAGCACACTGATCTATTCCATGGGACCGAAGGCTGACGACATCCTATCATCCTTAAAAATTACCAATGGTAAAAAGTGGCAGCCAGTTAAAGAAGCACTGTCAAAGTACTTTATTCCCAAAAGGAACTCTATATTTGAGCGAGCTAAATTCAACCAAAGAAAGCAGAAGGAGGATGAAACTGCCGACAGTTTTATCACGGCCCTTCATGTTCTCGCCGAATATTGTGACTATGGCGCCCTACATGATGATCTCATTCGAGACAGGATAGTAGATGGACTGAGGGACAGGAAATCAGAAAAGAAACAACTTGATTCCAAACTTAGTCTTGAGTCGGCAATATTAATGGCCAGACAGAACGAAACAATCAAGAAGCAACAGCCAGTTGTGAGAGGATCAACAACCCCAGAAGTAGCTATTAACAACATGGACGCAGTGAGATTCCATAGGAAAAAAGTAAATCCAAGACAGCCAGTCCGGACAACTAATAAAACCAATTCCACAGGCTGTGGCAGATGCGGAAACACGACAGTACATCCTCGAGACAAGTGTCCTGCCCGAGATGCTAAATGCCATAAATGCGGAACCAAAGGACATTTTGCTAAAGTTAAATTTGTCGCAAAGCAAATATAGCAGAAGTTGACAGGAGCTCTGGTGAGAGAGGTGGATGGTTCCTTGGGTCTGTCGACATCAAACAAGGAGACCCTTGGATAACAAACTTAAACATTCGAGGACAAACTGTGAAGTTCAAAATAAACACAGGTGCAGATGTAACAGTAATACCCGAGTTCATATACAAACAGACAAAAGGGATTAAACTTTCACATGTCAGTCGCTCATTGCATGGACCAGGAAACTCAAAATTAAATGTGTAGGGAAAGTATCTTTGTGAGATAGAATCTAAAAGTGTGTTCAGTGTGCAAGAAATATATGTTGTGAGAGGATTGAACCAGACATTACTAGGTAGACCGGCGATCATAGCACTGCACATCATTGAAAAGATAAATATTACGTCTTTCAACGCCAAAAGTATTCAAGCACGGAAATTTGAAAAATATTTCCGTGAGAAGTTCCCAATGGTTTTCAATGGGCTGGGGAAAGTAAATGGGAATACAAAATAAATTTAAAAGAAAACTCTAAGCCATATGCATTGTCAACACCTCGTAAAGTGTCATTTGCACAAAGAGACAAGGTCAAAGAGGAGTTAGACAGAATGCAAGATTTAGGAGTTATCTCCAAGGTCGACGAGCCTACTGAATTGTGCGCTCCAATGGTCATAGCCCCAAAATCCAATGGTCAAGTAAGAATATGTGTAGACCTGAAAAAGTTAAACAATCTGTCGAAAGAGAAAATCATCCCCTCCCCTCAGATGAAGAGTCTTTGTCCAAATTATCAGGATCGAAAATATTTTCAAAACTGGATGCAAATTCAGGGTTTTGGCAAATAAACCTATCACCTGAATTACGGCTGCTCACAACCTTTATTACTCAGTACGGGAGATTCTATTTTAATGGACTTCCGTTCGGAATAAATTCAGCCAGTGAGTTCTTTCAGAAACGAAAGTCTGAAATCCTTTGTGGGGTTGAAGGTGTACTATGTCACATGGATGACATTCTTATATTTGCTGCAAGTCAAGGCCAGCATGATGCAATTCTCGAAAACGTCTTAAGCATTCTCAAGGACAATGGTCTCACTTTAAACAACAAGAAATGTGAATTCTCAAAGCCATCAGTGGCATTTTTAGGTTATATCATTAACGAAAAGGGCATCAGAGTAGAGTCACAAAAGGTCAAAGCTATATTAGATATGAAAAAGCCAGAAAACGTGTCTGACATATGTAGATTCTTAGGTATGGTGAATCAGCTCAACAGATTTTCACCAAAGCTGGCGGAAAGGTCAAAGCCTCTCAGAGAGCTGCTTAAGCTAAAACAAATGCATGGATGTGGGGTCCAGCTCAAGAAAAGTCATTTGAGAGTCTGAAGACAGAAATTTCCCAGTCTCCATGTCTGACGCACTATGACACAAAAGAAGACATAATGGTTTCAGCAGACGCATCGTCGTATGGTCTAGGTGCTGTCCTACGGCAAAAACACGGGCAAACATGGAAACATGTGTCCTATGCATCAAGGTCAATGTTACTAAAAAAGCACATGATATAGGAAATTGACAAATATCGTCCTTTGATTAAAAAAAAAATAATAAAAAAAGATTTAAAGCTGTAAATATTTTATTTTAAAAATATTTTATATTAACTATTTCACTTAAAAATTCTCAATCATTTTTGGGAACAGTGTATTATGTTAGGATAAACGTAAATATGTATAAATAAGCTGATGCTAATCAACTAATTTAATTTTAGTAATTCCACTGTTATATATTCCTTTTCAAAAGGCTTACTATCTGATCTAATGAAGCTTTACATTTGCTGTCAATTCTAAACGTGCTCTAGTAAATTTAGTTTATTAACAAATTTCAAAATCTGATGCGTAAAATGACAATAAGTAAATACATAAATAATACAATTAAAACAAAATTGATTATGATTTTTTTTTTGTTTGTTTGTAAATTACCGTCCCTTTCTGTGGATAACAAACTACATCCCTAACAAAAAAAATTTAATTTACTTTAATAATTGTGATTGCATGAAAATTTTTCCTATATACTGTGGAATCATTAGATTTCATGTTGGCTCCATTTTCGTTGATTTCGTGGGTACCACTCGTCAACGAATTTACATCCTCCACAAATTAATGGATTGGGATAACAAAATTATATTTCCTTTTGTAGGCATCAGAAAATACTGTGACCGTGTGAAATGAACAGATTTTGAGTGACAATTATTTTCTTTGAAATAGTGCTTATAATAATATAATTATAGACCTCGACCGCAAGACATTTGACGCCACTTATAACTGAGTTAAAGTGTTAATTACTATTTAATTATATCAATTATGCCTTTATACTCAGAGTTAGTCTTCAATGTAATTGTTTCTTTCATCATTGTTATGAATTGGTTGTTTTATACAAGATCGTCAGTTGGAAACTGGACCTTGCACTGTCCACGCCGACTCAAGGTCGTGTAGAAAACGCCAAGTTTTTGGATCGTTAATAAATTAATAAACGAAGTACCGACTTGTGTATTTCTACCGGTCATGATACTCGAAATTACGTCCCAACGAACCAGCAAACAGACTAAAGCTTTTACTTTACAAATCTCCTCAGTTTAATTATTGACAAAAATTACAAATCATGAAAAATGATCAACATTTCAAAAGGGGAAAACACAATTTAAATATCTGTTACAGCTTTTCAATATATCACTTCGTACACATCCATTCAAAAAGTTTTTTTTAACAATTGTGTACTTTCACGAGCATAAGATAATCAATCTATGATAATTGATCCTAGCTTATACTCATACACATAATTCATATTGTAAATCTATTCTTTTAGACTTACATGAGTTTATGTATATTCAGAAATAAAACTGATGAAAGATTCCTTGCTTTTATGAGTCCATAGCAAATGTGTGTTTCAATGGTCATGATATACAATTTCATACAATTTTAAAAATCTCATCCTCTGATGTGGTTATAATTAATGTTATGTATCAGAAAGATTGCATTGAACATATTTTTTTTTTTAGTTTTTTAAAACAAAATGTATAGTTATGAGTTTTGTACAATATTAGAGTATTATTTGTCAATTTACATATTTTTTCACTGTCAAACTTACCATAATAGAAAAAGTAAAGGAAGTTTGCAATTGTGGTTAAACTAAATTGTGTGTAAGAAGCTTTAAAACTTAACTGCATACATCTTAATGCTAGTGCCCCATACATTTGTCCCCATACAACAAATATTTCTATCCTTGTTAAATATGAAAAACACCGGACTTGGCATATCTTCAATCATACGTAGTAGAAACCCATCGCTGGTTAACACATGAACATTGTTACTATTTGTCCCTGCCACGTATATAATATCATCACAGTCAATATGAAGACCGTAAGGATGCTTCAGCTTCTCGTGACTATATGTCCAGACAGTGTCACCTTCGTTTGTTATGGCAGACACCGAGTGTTTCCCCTTAAAAATACTGAAAACAATATGCCCGTTTCTTGTGACAGCAACATAGTGAACACCGCTAGCTGTGGGATATGTTCTTAATATATTTCCCTCTGTATCCATTTTAATAATTGCTGTGTGACATGCTGTATATAAGAAGTGATTCCAAAATGAAATCCCATAACAAGCCTTACCAACATTGACTGTACGCAGTATTTGAAAATCCTCAGCTGAGAGAATCTTTATCTTTTTACTCGAAATGCATGATGCAAAATAAAAATCTCCATTTCGCTTTATATCAAAGGTACTATGTACAAGCATAATCTCATTTTGAAAATTCCACTTGTCTTTTTTTGTAGAGTATCTCTTTACTGTATCTGTGTTCCAGTCAGGGAATATCACTTCAGTGTCAGAAAGGAAGATCACACTACGAATGCTGCTACCAGGAAATTGCATCTCTTGATACAACTCAAGTAGAAGGTTTTTAACGTCAAACATATCTGATAAACGCTCTCTTTTTTCAATAATTTCAGCGTTTCCAATTTTTGAGAGATTGGCAACTGCTTTAAAATCAAGTTCTAAAGTGGATTGCAATTTGAACTCAATTTTCTCTACTTGTTTATTCTTGATATATTCCAGTGTTTTCTTGGTTTTGAGGAATCCCATCAGAAAACTGACATCTTGTAAACTTGTAGCTGTCTCTAAATCTTTTCGACATAGTTCCACGGAGTGAATTATATCACCAACTGTCTGTATATTCGTTGTCAATTTTTCTTTGCACTGTTTTATGTGTGTGGAAATTTTGTCTAAAAACTCATTTTCCAGTTTTTCAAGATTCTGAATAATTTTTTCTTTCACATTTTGCACCTCGCCAGTTATAGCATCTGCCTCATCTTCTATTTCTGTGATATTTTTTTCTTCTATGCATTTTGTCTCAGAAAGTTTTTGTCCAAATTCCTTGATGTCATTTAATAAGTCCCCTACTAATCCACTGCTTTTGACTTTTTCTGCTTTTTGTTGAATGGTTTCCACGCTTTCACATTTCCTGTGTTCGGTGCTGCAGCACATTGCACAACAAGCTTCCTCATGATCATTGCAAAATAGCTCTATCGGTCGATCTTTGTGTTTTTCGCAACAGATGTTTGAAAATATATTTGACAATTCAGGTACACATTTTATCTCATCAAGACGGCAGATCTTGTGATCCCGAGATACACGACTTCTTCTGTGACACTTGGTACAGATATCACAAAGTGCTTCACAGCAAGACAAACAATAGGTATCCGCCACCTCCGTCTCATTTTCTCGTTTACAGGCTTCACATATTTTAGGAGAAATATCCCCTAGTTGTCTATTGGTTCGAAAATGCTGACACCAATCTTTAAAATTTGAGGAGAAACTAGGACTAGGTACAAATTCTCGACATACAGGACAGTGAAATCCTAATGGGTCCTCCTTTGGTTGACAGGTTGATATAATATAGGAAGACAAACAATCGTGACAAAATACATGCGAACATGACAAGACACGTGGTGTTTTAAACTGTTCAAAACAAATTGGACATTTGGAAACGTCTACTTTGCTCATACCTTCCTGTTCTGTTGTTGAACACGCCATCTATTTTACCATTGTGATTTTTAGCATTTGGATTTCTCGAATTTAAAACGAAAGTTAAGAATAAAATTATATGGAATACCGATCCCGTAACTTATCTATAGCAATCAAAAATTCTTAGAACTCTTACACTCTCATACCGCCGCAATAAAGCCACATAGAGAGCCTTTTATCCTTTTACAGTCTTGTAAAAAGCCTTTGTTAGAACATTTATGAAACCAAGACACTGTAAAGACGGATATTATTTTGGTTCAATTTTTAATAAAGATTCGTGATTGGCACAATTAGACTTAATCCCATCTTTTGTTGATAAAAGAATATTCAAATTGTTCCATTTTTAACTTATTGTTCATGAAAATATTAAATTTAAGATTCTTCTTTAGAGACCGATGATACTCAAATTTACCTCAAATAACACGAAAAATTCTTATTTATTAGATTTCGTCATTATTTTGGATTTTTATTATTTGCATAATTGTGTAACAGGGTTTTCTTATGGTGTTAAAGAAGAACTCCTGCGTCTAAGGTTCGATCATTTTATTTTGTCATGTTGAATAAATAAATACATCAATAAAGCCCTGAAAATATCAATAACAAATTATAAGTATTTAGAAAACAAACAACCATATTACATTTATAATGATATTCATGAATTTAGGCATGAATTACTTTATAATAATCGATCATAAAAGTATTACACATTATACTAAGCATTGAAATAAATACATGGAAAAGTAAGAGTTATTTCCCTTACATCGACGTCTTGAAAACGAGAATATAAATCGAACTATTCCAAATAGAACTATTACAAATAAAATGAATAGTTCACAAATCTATTTGCAATAATATATACACAATAAATAGAAAATAACTGTAGGTATACCTGATTGTGGATCAAGGCTCAAACAATGGCCACCCGATAAAAATAACGGGTCTTGATATATAGACTCCTATTAAACAATAATTATATTCTATATACACTTCTGCATAATTGATATTTTATTTACATACTCAAAGAATTTATACTTTAAGCTTCATTTAATAATGATAAAGTTGAACTCAGTATATCTTCACAAAATTACATTAAAAATCAAAGACGATGAATTATCGGAAAGTATAGAATAAGGATTAGTATAGATAAAAGAAATAGAAGTCAACTTACAGTCACTGTCCTGAGGTCTCGTCTCAAAATTAATATTGTATATAATGATGACCAAAAATACTCATCTCATTTTCCAAATGGTCTATAGATGTCTGACCGATACACAAAGAGATCGGCGGGAAAAACGTCCCTAACCAATCGCAAGCTTGGTTATTAAAACTGACCAATAACATTATATACCCTCAAGATAAGTAAGAACTTCTAGAACATAAGTAAAGATTAAAACCAAATGAAGTTGTAATATTTTATTAATTTTATTAACGGTGAGCGCAAAACTCCGTGAAAACGAAATGCTGCGCGATGCTAAAAATAAAATATATACACGTGAATATTAAGTCACTGAACTATATAATATAATATTCACTTAATAAAATAAATTAAAATATCACTCTATCACAATTGCAGGTTTTAGAAAACCTTGAATAATTAATGAAAAAAAAAATGAATGCAGGTTTCAACTTTTCAACATTCAGGTTATATCGAAAGTTGATATGATCTTCAGAAACAAAAGTAATGTAAATCCCCCCCCCCAATAACCGTTACTTTTGAATTTATGTGAAGTTGTGAGAGTACCAGGTACTACATATAAGTAACATTTCAATAAGTGTAATATAAGGTGTTTCTATAAAGGATTGAGATTTTTATTTGTAATACTTTAATCCAAAGTATTGGATTAAATACATATAATACGAGGTAATGTATTTTACTGAATGACTTTCTACCCTTCTCTTATATGACATATTCAATTTTCATGGACAATCTCCCGTTTATTTTATATTACTTCCTATTGTGTGAAAACATCTATAAAATATATATTTGTGTTAAAGAATTGTAAAATCTAGTGATATTCTGAAACGCTATTTCGCTATCTAATCTACCTTGTAGTGTGTGGAACAAAATATTAAAAAAAAAGAATTCGGTTAAGGAAAAGATACAGTAAGTCAAGTAAACTCACATTTTTAGATCAAAGAAGGCTTGGATATATGCAAAGTAAGAACAACACAAAATGTAGAAAAATGGGATTACTTTACTTACCCTACCGGCTCTTTCCCTCTGTTGAAATTTTTACCATTTGTATGATTTTCAATCGCCAGGATTTGAAATTACACAAAATTAAAAAAAAAATATCTCTCGCTCTCTCTCTCTCTCCTCTCTCTCTCTCTGATGTGAATTTCATGTTATGTATTAGGAAGATTGCATTGAATATATTATAACATATTATAAACTGGAGATATTTAAAAGCCTTAAAACTTAAGTGCACACATCTTAATGCTGGTGCCCCATATAATATTATTTGTTCCCATAGAATAAATATTTCTATACTTGTTTAATATGAAAAACACAGGACACGGCACATCTTAACACAGGACACGGCATATCTTCATTCAGCAAACCTCGGCTGATTCCGTCACCTTCATCAAACCTCGGCTGTACGAGGAAACTTGATATGCGTCTACGCTTAACATTTGTGATAAGGCTGCCTGTTTACCGCTTAGGGAAAAAGTAACGCTTTGAAAACGATAATAAAAATGCATCTGACATACAATAAAAATTTTCAAAAGCATTTAGGTAACACTAAGAATAACACTTACCAAGAAACATGTACTTAGTATCTTTACATAGTCACATGTTTGTTAACAGATCGAATTCAGCACACTGTGCACGTGTAATTATATAGGGCACAGCCATATTGCATTTAAAGTAGCTCCGGTTCAATGGAGGTTTGCATGATACAGCCGAGGTTAGATGAGGTACGAATCGGCCGAGGTGTGCCGAGAAGGCATATCTTCAATCATACATAGGAGAATCCTATTATTTGTTAACGCATGAACATTGTTACTATGTGTCCCGTCGCCCGCGTGGCGCAGTGGTTAGAGCGTTCGCTCTAGAGTCACGGCGTAAGGAGTTGATCCTTACGTCGCCGGTTCGAATCCCACTGTGGGACGCGGAGACCGGTCCTTCGGATGAGACCGTTTAAACCGAGGTTCCGTGTCGCAGTAGGTGTTGGCACGAAAAAGATCCCTCACTGCTCAATGTCCGTAAGTGCCGAGTATAGGACAAAATTTGCAGCTCTCCACCGGCAAATGGTGGCGTCTCCATATGAGTGAAAAAATTCTCGAGAGGGACGTTAAACAACAAACAAACAAACTAACTAACTATGTGTCCCTGCCACATATATGATAACATCACACTCAACGTAAAGACCATATTGATACTTTCGTTTCTCATGACTATACGTCCAGACAGTGTCACCTTCGTCTGTTATGGCAGCCACTGAGTGTTTCCCCTTAACTATACTGAAAACAATCTCCCTGTTTCTTGTAACTTCAACATTGTGAACACAATTAGCTGTGGGATATGTTCGTTATAAATTTCCCTCTGTATCCATTTTAATAATTGATGTATAACATGCTGCATATGGAAAGTAGTTCCAAAATGAAATCCCATAACAAGCAGTACCAACATAAAGTGTACGCTTCATTTGAAAATCATCAGTTGAGAGAACCTCTACCACGTGACTCGAAATGCATGATGCAAAACAAAAATCCCCATTTCGCTTTATATAAAAGGTATCATGTCCAAGCATAATCTCCTTTTCAGAATTCCACTTGTCTTTTTTTGCAGAGTATATCTTTATCGTTTTTTGTGTTCCAGTTAGGGAATATCACATCAGTATTAGAAAGAAACATCACACTACGAATGCTGCTACCTGATATCCCACTCTTCATACAACTCAAGTTGAAAGTTTTTCACCTCAAACATATGCAATAAAATCTCTCTTTTTTCAATAATTTCAGTATTTCCAATTTTTGAAAGATTTGTAACTGCTTTAAAATTAAGTTCCAAATGTGATTGCAATTTGAACTCAATTTTCTCTACTTTTTTATTGATATATTCCAGTGTTTTCTTTGTTTTGAGGAATTCCATCAGAAAACTGGCATCTTTTAAACTTGTAGCAGTTTTTATATCTTGTCGACATATTTCAATGAAGTTAACTCTTTGCACATTTCTAGTTTTTCAAGATGCTGAATAACTTTTTCTTTTAGACGTTGTACTTCGCCTTCATCTTCTTTTTCTGTGATGTTCTTTTCTTCTCTGCATTTTTACTCAGAAAGTTTTTGCTCAAATTCCTTGATATATAATAAGACTCCAATTGACCCACTGTTTCTGACCTTTTCTGTTTTTGTTCAATTTTTTCAACACTTTCACATTTTCTGTGTTCGGTACTGCAGCACATTGCACAATACAGTTCCTCATAATCAATGCAAAACAGCTCCTTGTTTTTTTTTTTTTTTTTTTTTTTTTTTTTTTTTTTTTTGCAATGGATGTTTGAAGAATTTTTTGACATTTCAGGTACACATTATATCTCATCAAGACGCCAGATCCTGTGGTTCCGACTTTTCCGATGACACTTGGTACAGATATCACAAAGTGTTTCACAGTAAGACATACACTAGTTACATGTATCCGCCTCCTCCGTCTGATTTTCTCGTTCACATGCCTCACATATTTTTATACTTTCCGTTTTGAAAGAAATATTCTCTGGTTGTCTATTAGTTGGAAAATGCTTACTGCAGTCTTTAAAGTTAAAGAGAAACTAGGAGCAGACACAAATTTTAAACATACAGGACAGTGAAATCTTAATGGGTCCTCCTTTGATTGACAAGTTGATGTAATGAAGTATAATCGTGACAAAATATATGGGAACATGGCAAGCCTCGTGGTGTTTTAAACTGTTCAAAAAATCGGACATTTAGAAAAGTCAACTTTGCTGAAACCTTTCTGTTCTGTTATTGACCAAGCCATTAATGTTAGCACGTTAGTTTTTACCTTTTTGGAT